GTATATGAATTTAGGCCCCAATATCTGAGAGCCCTGGAACTAAATATTGGCATCCCTTCTGGGCAGTGCTTTTCCAAATGAGACACCAGCTCAGGATTAATTAGAGCCCTAAGGATTAATTACAGTGCTTTATTAAAGATGTAATTACTGGATTCCCTAATTCTATGAGTTAAATCTATATAGCTGAAGTGCCTGATTTATTCATTCTTTTTAATTCTTTTTCTTTAAATTGCAATATAGTTGATTTTTAATGTTGTGTTAGTTTTTGGTGTACAGCAAACTGATTCAGCAATATATACATGTGTATGTACATACACACACACATTTCATTTTCAGATTCTTTTCCATTACAGGTTATAAGAAACTGAATATAGTTCCCTGTGCTATACAGTAAGTCCTTGTTGTTGATCTATTTTATATATAGTAGTTTATATCTGTTAATCTCAAACTCCTAATTTATCCCTCTCCCTCCACCCCTTCCCCTTTGATAGCCATAAGCTTGTTTTCAATGTCTGTGAGTCTGTTCCTATTCTGTAGATAAGTTCAGTTGTATTATTTTTTTAGATCCTACATACATGTGATATGATATTTGTCTTTCTCTGTCTGATTTACTTTACTTAGTATGATAATCTCTATGTCCGTCCATATTGCTACAAATGGCACTATTTCATTCTTTTTTATGGCTGAGTAATATTCTATTGTATATATGTACACACATCTTCTTTATCCATTCATCTGCTGATGGACATTTAAGTCACATCCATGTCCTGGCTACTGTAAACAGTGCTGCTATAATCATTAATTCTTTTTTTTTTTTGTTCCAAACCTTAAACTTTTTATCTTGTGTTGGGGTATAGCTGATTAATAATATTGTGGTATAATAGTTTCAGGCGAATAGCAAAGGGACTCAGCCACACATATACATGTATCCATTCTCCCCCAAACCCTCCTGCCATCCAGCCTGGCAGATAACAGTGAGCAGAGTTCCACGTGCTCTACAAAAGGTCCTTACTGGTTATCCATTTTAAACACAGCAGTGTGCACATGACCTTCCCAAAGTCCCTAACTATCCCTTACCCCAGGCATCCTTAAGTTTGTTTTCTGTATTCATTAATACTTGAAACTAACTTACAAGACCCAAACTAGTAATTTGAGGACTACATAAATTCTGTGCTCAAATTCACCACCTTTCTTTGGTAGGAATCAGCTTGATTACCTTCGTGTGGATAGTGAGCTTAAATAAGGTCAGCAGCCTCATTTAGGGGATGAGGAAGAAGGGCACCAGGCCAAATCCAAGATACCGAATTCTTGTGGTCTTTAATAAAATTGCTATATACTTATATTTGACACAAGGAAGAACTCTGCAACCCTTTGAAATATAGGAAAACTTCTTAAAGCTAAAGAGATGATATTCCCAGGATGACTTGGGTATGGCACTTCTTAAAAGCAAGATGGATCCGGTTCCTCTTTTGTTAGCATTGCTTTGATTTTGTGGAAGTTGCTGAGCAGTACAAAATCAACCCCTAAAAGAGCTACCAGATTAAGATATAGACTATTCTGCATGTGTCTAGGAGACCTGGGAAGTACATCCAGTTCAGTCAGTAACTCACTATTCAGCTTTGGGTAAGTTACTTCACTCTTGGATCTTAATCTCCCTTCTTCTCAAAGAGAACACCACTCTTACAATATTTACTACTTAAATATTTTTAGTTTTCCCCATTCCTTGGCCATCTGGGACAGACACCACTAGGAGACTGTAGAACTTTTCCTCTAAGCTCAGATAAAGGTTTTTGGACTTAACTAGTTGATTTGAAAAATTTCAGAAACACATATACACACGGTCTCCTCCTCCCTCTGCCTCCTCTGAGCTTCCTGGGACTAAAGGCTGTCTTCTCCTGCTTTTTTAAGTTCTCCGCAAGTACTAGTACAGTATTCTAATATTAAGAACCAGTTCACAGCCAAATAAATGTTTAGTAAGCTACCTCAATCAACTCAACTTTACCAGACGTTTTAAGCCAAACATTCTGCCTTGGTTGTTCTATTTTGCTAGTCCTTCCTAACTAGTTTGTGATATATTAATTTGATGTTTAAGCTTTAAACATCTGCTGTTAATGGATTTTAACACCAAGTGACATCTCTTCTGGCCCCTGCCCTCTGTTCATTTTAAGAAACAAGAGTACTGGGACTTCCCTGGTGGGCCAGTGGTTAAGAATCCGCCTTGTAATGCAGGGGACACAGGTTTGATCCCTGGTCGGAGAACTAAGGTCACACATGCCTTGGGGTCAACCAAGCCTTTGAGGCAACTGCTGAAGCCCACCCTCAATCCATGCACCACAGTGAAAGATCCTGCATGTTGAAAGTAAGATCAATGCTGCAACTAAGACCAGAGGCTGCCGAATTTGAAAAAAAAAACAAAAAAGAAACATGACTACTCACAGTAAAGTTTCTGGTATTATGTCATAGCACCGACTGAGTGAAAGGTGTTGGAGGTAGTTGAGTTGGTAAAATTCTGGAAAGCAGTCATTTTTCAGCATGACACTATCGCTGTAACAGAAGAAAAAATTAAAAAGCTATCCACCAATCCCAGATGAAGATAGGAACAGCTTATCATTCAGTTCCTTCAATTCAACATATTAAGACTCTTTCCTCATTCAATAAAAAATCATGAATTTTCATTAAATTTTTTTTTGTTTTAAAATAAAGAAAAACATACCTTAAGTCTAGGTGGACAAGATTGCGACATCTTCCAACCAAGGTAGAGACATCTAGCGGACAAAAAAAGAAAGACGGTCACCATCAAATGAGGAATCACACAAGGATACCTGCTGTCCATACATTTCATATTGTGCTGGAAATTCAGAGTATTCTGAATTAGAGTCATTCACTATTAGAAAAAAAAAATCATCATCTTGCCATATAAGACTTTCTACCCAGGAAACACAAGAAAGCATCTGAAAAACGACTAGAAATAGTAAGAGAACTAATTGTGTAAAATGACTGGATAAGAAACTCCATAGCTTATCTATGTGCCAGCAATTGCTGGATGGAAAGAGGCGGGGAAAGTCCGGTTCACAATAGCAAAAAGCAAAATCAAACAGCGCACTATATAAACAAATATCAAAAAGTAGCACTCCAAACCAGTGGAGGAAAATCATAGATTATTAAAAAATAATATGGCTACTACAAGTAGAGAAAATTTACTTCGACTCAAATAATATATCCAAATTAATTCCACATGTTATTAAAAACTTACAAATGCAAAAATGAATAATTATTCATTGGATCTTCCTTTCTAAACATAAAAGAAAACAAAAAGGAGACAATGATAATTTATGACAAAAATCTTTTAAAACTCTACCATGTTAGAAGAAAACAGAGTACAAACAGAAATAAAGTGGTATCAGAAAACTGGGAATAAATGTTTCCAGTAGAGTTAATGTTCTTATTATATTAACAGTATAAAAAAATAGTATATTAAGAGTATAACAAATAGAACGATACTGCATAAAATATAGACATAATAAAAATGGAGCAAGAAATGCAAAATAAAATATTTTTTTTTTGTGCTATCACATGAAAAACAAATCCTATTACAATACCCAGAACTGATGAAATATGAAGCAGGTGCCCCTACACTAAAAGTGGGTATTTAATTTTATGCAGCCTTTCAGAAGACCTCATTTTTTGAGGGTGAACTGATCTTTCTTTTTAAAAAAAAGGTTTCAGGGCATAACACCCTTTGCTCTTTGGCTCACTAATTCCACTTTTAGAAAAGTAATTAGAGATCGCAGGTGACACTAGTGGTAAAGAACCTGCCTGCCAATGCAGGAGACAAGAAACACAAGTCGATCCCTGGGTTGGGAAGATCCCCTGGAGGAGGGCAAAGCAACCCACCCCAGTATTCTTGACTGGAGAATCCCAAGGACCCTACAGTCCATACGGTTGCAAAGAGTCAGACATGAATGAAGCAACTTAGCACGCATGCTTACATGCACTATGATATTCACTATAGTGACAGTTATAAAAGCCCCTCTCCCCAATAGGTCAACCTTCATCCATTCTATGGAACACAATGCTGATAATAGTCATTAAAAAGCTATTTAATAACATTTTACAAAGTGAAAAAATAACTCAGGATACACTGTATACTGAAAAAAAATATATATAATGCATGATAATCTCAATTTAAACACACAAACATATATATTTACACACAAACTTACACATAGAAAGAAAGGGGGTTGGGGGTTGGAAGGCTGGAAGAAAATACATCCAAATGTTAAGTGCAGTTACCAAGGGTGGTGGGATCACAAATACCTTTTCAGAATTTGGAACAAGATACTTCGCAATCAGAAAACACATCAGTGAGTGTTATTTACTTTAAAAAATAGGCAAATCTTATTAATGTTTGAGGGTTTCTTTTTTCTTCTCACAGCTACATCTCCAGCCGCATCCCCTTGTCTAAATCCTGCCTCCTCAACACACTCACTGGGCTATGTGATAAGCATCTCACATTTATGCCTAAAACCAAATGCTTGATTTCTCCCCTCAATCTGCTCCTTCCCCCAAAGTCTTTCCCGTCTTAGTAAGTGCGAACTTCATCGATTGCTGGGGCCAAAACCCTGGGAGTCGTACTCAAACTGTTTCCTCACATCCCACACCCCATCTGTTACCCAGTCCTGTTGGGTTAGCTTTCAAAATGTGTCTGAAATCAATCACTTCTTACTTCCTCAAATGTGATCACCAAGTCTCCAGCGGCCTTTCCCTGGCACAGCTCTGCAAGGGGACTTTTCAAAGGTGAGTCAGATCATTTCATTCCTGTTCGAGATACTTCAATGGCTTCCCATCTTACCCAGGAAAACAAGGGAAACAGAGCTTCTGCCTTGGCCGAGAAAGCCCCCGGCTATCTCATCTCCTCACACTGGGCTCCTCACTCCCTCTCCCACACTGGCTCCCATACTGAGAGGAAACAAAAATCCCAAACATTAATAAAGTTTGTCTATTTTAAAAAGTAAATAACATTTATTGATTCATTTTCTGATTATAAAGTAGCATATGTGGCTTTCCTCTAAAGGCACTTGTTGGTCCTTAGTTCTAGAATGTTTTTTCCTTACGTATCTACATATCACTCTTTCAGGTCTATGGTTAAATCTCACCTCCTCAGGGAGCTCTTCTCTTTGGCCATTCCATCTGAAAACAGCCCCCTTTCTGCTACGCTCTGAGTACCCTGCTTTAAACTTTTCCTCCTTGTGTTTTCACTTCCTTTCATATATTTACTTCCTTGTTGATTGTCTGGATTCCCCACCAGAATGGAAGCTTCACAAGGGTGACTTTCTCTGTTTTGTTCAAGGCCACATGTCCCAAGTTTAGAACTGGGTTTTGTGCATTATAGGGACTCAAAAGACATTTGTCTCATGAGTCACTAAAAAATGAAGAACTGCACAACGTAATTTTGAGTGACCCATCATTTTGCTAGCCAACCACAAAATCCACAATCAGATACAATCTTCCTTTGCCACCACCTGGGAAAGAATTAAACCTTGGGGGATGAAACTGGTTAGTCTCTGTCTCCAGCCCTTGTTTAAGTCCCGTCTTTCTTTGGTGGGTAGAGTTAGGAACCAGATCGCCAAGACTTAGGCAAGAGTTAGGAACCAGACTGCCAAGATTCCTCTTCACTGTCTCCTTCATTTCACTTGAGTTAGAAGGGATCTTAGAAACTACCTAATATAACTTGTCATTTTAGAAGAGAGACATTTTTCGCTAGAGAAGTCCAAGTAAATCTAAGACCCAAAGCTAGGTCCTCCAAACCTCATCCCTCAAAATGTGTCTGAAATCAATCACTTCTTACTTCCTCAAATGTGATCACCAAGTCTCCAGCGGCCTTTCCCTGGCACAGCTCTGCAAGGGGACTTTTCAAAGGTGAGTCAGATCATTTCATTCCTGTTCGAGATACTTCAATGGCTTCCCATCTTACCCAGGAAAACAAGGGAAACAGAGCTTCTGCCTTGGCTGAGAAAGCCCCCGGCTATCTCATCTCCTCACACTGGGCTCCTCGCTCCCTCTCCCACACTGGCTCCCATACTGAGAGGAAACAAAAATCCCAAATATTAATAAAGTTTGTCTATTTTAAAAAGTAAATAACATTTATTGATTCATTTTCTGATTATAAAGTAGCATATGTGGCTTTCCTCTAAAGGCACTTGTTGGTCCTTAGTTCTAGAATGTTTTTTCCTTACGTATCTACATATCACTCTTTCAGGTCTATGGTTAAATCTCACCTCCTCAGGGAGCTCTTCTCTTTGGCCATTCCATCTGAAAACAGCCCCCTTCCTGCTACGCTCTGAGTACCCTGCTTTAAACTTTTCCTCCTTGTGTTTTCACTTCCTTTCATATATTTACTTCCTTGTTGATTGTCTGGATTCCCCACCAGAATGGAAGCTTCACAAGGGTGACTTTCTCTGTTTTGTTCAAGGCCACATGTCCCAAGTTTAGAACTGGGTTTTGTGCATTATAGGGACTCAAAAGACATTTGTCTCATGAGTCACTAAAAAATGAAGAACTGCACAACGTAATTTTGAGTGACCCATCATTTTGCTAGCCAACCACAAAATCCACAATCAGATACAATCTTCCTTTGCCACCACCTGGGAAAGAATTAAACCTTGGGGGATGAAACTGGTTAGTCTCTGTCTCCAGCCCTTGTTTAAGTCCCGTCTTTCTTTGGTGGGTAGAGTTAGGAACCAGATCGCCAAGACTTAGGCAAGAGTTAGGAACCAGACTGCCAAGATTCCTCTTCACTGTCTCCTTCATTTCACTTGAGTTAGAAGGGATCTTAGAAACTACCTAATATAACTTGTCATTTTAGAAGAGAGACATTTTTCGCTAGAGAAGTCCAAGTAAATCTAAGACCCAAAGCTAGGTCCTCCAAACCTCATCCCGTGCTCATCCACTGTTCCACAGAGAGGTAGTGATGGGTGAGGAATATAAACACCAAGAGCCAACAATTACTGAGCTCTCACTATGTGCTGAGAATGACTAAATGTCTTGTACATGTATTACACCATTTATTGCTTACTCTAATGCTAAGAGGTAAGGTAGTACTATTAACTCCATTTTATTGAGAAATGGAAGAAGAGCAAGGTTAAGCAAATTGCTCAAGGCTACCCAGTGAATGACAGAGCTTGAATCCAGATGGTCTGCCCCTGGTCTTGGAGGTAAAACACAAAATTTGTATTGTCTTCTATTCAGTGAAACAGCGTGTGCTGTTGTTAAATAGATATCCATTTAAAACGCCCTGAATTCCCATTGTACACTTAAGGAAACTAACACTTCAACTCCTACTCTGCGTCCTATCCTCGCCCTGAATGTGTCCAGCAAGTGGGATTTTACCACCTATTATTCTTGCCAAAACTTAGTAGAAAGGTGATTTGTTCTTTTTCAGAGGAACCCAGAAAACAGTTTTAAGGCAAACGTGGAAACAATTTACAGTAGTTTGCCTACAGCTGAGTTTCTCGACCTTACACACAGAACCTCAGTTCATTACAGAAAAACTCTGAATAAAGAAGTGGGAAGTTCAGGTATGGGCAGAAGTGTACGCAAGGCACTGTCTTCTCTAGGGAATGAAGAGGGAAGAACCACAGGTGGGATTCAATGGGAACAGGATGCTCCCTGGTGGGAAGTTAAAGTCCTTGGAAGGCAACTTGGCAAGAACTATCCAAAGCTTGATAATGAAGCCTAATCCTTGGCCTGGCAACTCCACTTAGAAATGCACTCAACAGTCTGCTTCTGTCCATAAGACAGTTGTTTATAAAAGGGAGAAACTGTAAAGATTCTAAACATTCGTTACAAGGAGATCAACTGAGTAAGTTGTGAATGAATCAATAAATTATTCCAAATATATCTGGTGGAATATCACATAGCCACTGAAAATGACATGTGGTGTAGCTACTGAAATAGGGTTACTTGAAATAAAACCATACCATAAAGTATTCCATACACTATGTCCCATGTTTTTGTTTTTTTTTTAAAAAGCCACTTTTTAACAGGAAAAAAGGCTAGCAAAATGTTAGCAGGATTATTGATTTTTGTGTTTTTACATGTTTTAGGCATATTTGAGAATGACTATGTAATACTATAACTAGATTATTTTTTAATTTTTATTTTTAATTGGAGGATAACTAATTTACAATATTGTGTTGGTTTGTACCATACATCAACATGAATCAGCCATAGGTATACATATGTCCCCTTCCTCTTGAACCTCCCTCCCAAACAGATTTAAAATTGTGTTTAAAGGGAAAAAATGCAGAATAGAAATACTGTGTGTGGAGCAGAGTGGTTAAGAAAGACACTACTGCTGCTTTTACAGATCTCTAGGGAAAGGCTTCATTTTGTTATCTGGGCTCAAGCACCTGCAGAGGATTCCAACCTCTGACCATCTAGGAGAATCCGCTCCTGTCTTCTACAGCCTCGGATATGTGACTCACAGAGGACAGGTCACGTCCTGGAGGAGTGCTTTTCAAATACTGCTTAGATTTTAAGAAGATACACCCTGCAAATATTTGGCTCATGAGTATTTAGAGTATGTTAAACGTTATAAGAGAAACACTTAGAGGGGCTCACACCCCCATCAAGACACGAGGTTAGGGCTGAGGTGTGCACTGGCTTAACAAGGCTTTGTGTAGGCCAGCCTGAGGCCACGAGGGCAAGCTATTAAAATGCTAAGTGAAATAAGTCAGGGGACTTCCCTGGTGGTCCAGTGGCTATGACTCCATCCCAATGCAGGTGGCGTGGGTTTGATCCCTGGTCAGGGAACTAGATTCCACATGCCACAAGTAAGAGTTAGCACACTGCAACTCAAGATCCTGCATGCTGCAGCTAAGACCTGGCCCAGCCAAATAAATGAACAAAAATAAATATTAAAAAAAGAGAGAAAAACAACTACTATATGATATCACTTATTTAGGGACTCTAAAAACTACAACAAACTAACGGGTGGCTGTGGTTTAGTCGCCAAGTTATGTCCGAGTCTTGTGACTCCATGGACTGTAGCCTGCCAGGCTCCTCTGTTCATGGGATTCTACAGGCAAGAATACTGGAATGGTTGCCATTTCCTTCTCTAGGGTATCTTTCTGACCCAGGATTCAAACCCAGGTTTCCTGCATTGCAGGCAAACTAATAGATGTAACAAAAAAGAAGCAGATTCATAGATACAGAGAACAAACTAGTGGTTATCAGTGGGGAGAAGGAACAGGAGAGAGATTAAGGCAATAGAGGGGAAGGTGATTAAGAGATACAAACTACTAAGTATAAAATAAGCTACAAGGATTGTACAACATGAGGCATACAACCAATATTTTATAGTAACTTTAAGTGGAGTATAACCTTTAAAAATTGTAAATCACTCTTGTACACCTATAACATATATTACTGTACATCAAATATATTTTAATAATAATAAAGAAAACCCTTGCCATTTGTCCTTATCTTTGCAAATCAAGATTCCATCAATATTAGAAAATAAAACGAAGTACACATAACTGAATGTTCAGGTTTATAAAAACTTAAATTGTCACACATCACCCCTGATTTTAAATGCCTGTGTTCACCTAAAAAACCCCACTGTCCTTTTAGACTGAATTGAAAAAAGTTATAAATATGAACTTAGAGGGTTTATTACAGGGTTTTTCAACCTTGGCACTACTGACATTTAGGACCAGATTCATTTTTGTGTGTTATTCTACTGTCCTGTGCGTTGTTCACCAGCATTCCTGGCATCTACCCACTAGACGCCAGTGGGTAGATGCCAGTAATGCCACAGCTGTGACTATCAAAAATGTCTCAGACCTTGCCAAATGTCCTCTTGCAGGCAAAACTGTCCCCAGTTGAGAATCATTGCTTATACTAATCAAACACTACATCCCTCAATTTTTATGTTGGGTTTTACCTAAATAATTTAGTTAAAGAAAAGAAGCTCTTCTACTTAAACATAAATCCTTTTAAAGCATAAAGGTTTTCACTCATGGATTCTAGATTCAAACCCTGCCACTAACCCACTAGCTGTCTGCATTTACCTGACCCTTTTGATCAGCTAGCTGTTAGTCATCTGAAAAAATAGGAATAGGAACACACACACTGCATTAAATGAGACAGTTTATGGAGGATCATGCCTAGGAGATGCTCAAGAAATCAAACCTGCTCTTATTGTTGGGGCTGCTGTTGTTAAGGGCCCAACAGCCCTGAGGGTCTTACCTGATCTCTGCAGATTCTTTCGGTACCCGCTGAGATTCAGCTGGGTGATGGTCTCTGACACATGTGCAACAGCCACCTGCACATGCTTCTCAGTGAAATCATAGCACCAAGAGAGGTTCAGTTCATCCAATCTGCACACAAGAGGGGTGACAAGAAAAGCATGAAACCATTACCCAGAATGAATTTCCTATGAAACCCTGCCTAAAGCTGCAAACCAAGAAAATACAGGGCCATTGATTCCTTACCATTTTCTGCATAGAACCTCAGCTTCTCTAAGCAGCTACATTTGCTCACCTGAAACTGCTCTCCATCTCGGTCTAGTTTGTTCCAGAAAGTTGCCAGGGTATATGAGCCAAGGGCTTAGTGAATGCTGCCCTCTTCTGGAAGAGAAGGGAAGTGCTCTCCTCTCCTGCTCATACCCCATTCCAGGACTAGGAGAAATTCTAGCTTCTATGCTTTCTTTCTCAACCACTTGGGTTGTAGGAAAACAACAATATGAGCTTGAGATGTTTTAAAAAACTGATAGGTTGTACCAGGAATTCCTAATAAAGAGATGCCGACATCACAAAAATTCACTTTATCTTACTGGGCCTCTGCTAACTAAGCAAATGAGGGCTTCAAAGAGAAAGTCCAACCACTAAATTATACATCCCATTCCTGGCATTGCTGAGAAAATGTAGGGCTATCATTTTATCTCATTGGTAATGTTCTTATCAGCGAAGGCAACGGCAACCCACTCCGGTACTCTTGCCTGGAAAATCTCATGGACGGAGGAGCCTGGTAGGCTGCAGTCCATGGGGTCGCTAAGAGTCGGACACGACTGAGAGACTTGACTTTCACTTTTCACTTTCATGCATTGGAGAAGGAAATGGCAACCCACTCCAGTGTTCTTGCCTGGAGAATCCCAGGGAAGGGGAGCCTGGCAGGCTGCCACCTATGAGGTTGCACAGAGTCGGACACGTCTGAAGTGACTTACTTAGCAGCAGCAGCAACAATGTTCTTATACAAAAGCAATCTTTTGTATAAGATCATTATGGAGAAATAAATATCATGCTATTAACCCAGAGACCAAGGGAATATTAAAAAGGACACTCAGTATTGGGTATTCTGTGAATCATGCCCCCCCTCACTTATTAATTTCTGTAACTCTGTAACCTTTATATATTGACAATAGACATTAATACCTAGTATAAAAGATGTTTTTAATTGAATCACCCAGATTCATGGTGTATTTTGCAATAACAAACTTTTGACAAATAAACAGTCAAAACTCTTAAGTTAGGTCTACAGACGTTACAGGGAAAAAAAGCCTGACAGTATAGTTAGGTATAAACAGATACTCTTTGTACATACTGTTGATGAACACATTACCACATTTTCCTTATTTTAATAAGTTACAGAGGAAAAAAGGGATCACAACGCAAGTAATCTTTGCAAACTTCACCAATTTGGATCCTGAGTTTGGACAGAAAGTTTGAAGGATAAAGGGTATTGAGTTCTCCAAATCAAGAGCTCAAAGAGTTAGGAATAGCTTAAAAATGTTACCTGATTCTATCCTGATGTGTAAGATAACTGTATGTTTGAAATCACAGTTCTACAATCAAATCTCAAATCTCTCCTACCTGGAACAGCTGCTCAGCAAAGTCTTCAGGGCAGATTCAGAGAATCCAGAACACCCAGAAAGATTGAGTCGCAGTAAATTTGTGTTCTGAGCAAGATTACTGGAAAAAGAGGACAAAGTTGTAACAATACTAACCAGATCCTCTTATTCAATCAACAAGAATGAAGCTAAGGGAGGCAGTTACAAGAACACAGGCCTTTGAGTCAGAAGTGAGTTTAAATTCACATCTTACCATCTAGATGACACCAAGTAGGATGCTTTGCCTTAGTTTATTCATCTGTGAAATGGCAAGATCAGTATCTTCTTGGTAGTGTTAAAATTAAGTGATACAATGTAATAAAGGCCTCAGCACAGTGCCCAGCACAGAGATTAACTACACAACAAACACTTACCAGTGTACTTTTAAAATTGAAAAACAGAACCCACCAATGACCCAAAAATATTTCTATTTTACCCACAATTGTAATTAGATTGTAAGTAAACTTCTACTTATAAAGTCACCAGTTCCTTCAATTAAACGTCTCTCAAATTGCTCTCTTCTCTCCATTCCCAAATGTCTCATGTTAGCCAAACAGTGATCAAGAGCGAGAGTTCTGGAATCATACTATATGGCCAGGTTCAAATCTTGGTTTTGCTACCTAGCTACTGTGTGACCGTGGACAAGTTATTCAGCCTCTCTGTTCCTTAGTTTCCACATCTGTAAAAAGGGGAATAATAAGAACATATTTCATGGGGTTGCTATGAGGATTTACTCAGAATACCTTTAAAGAACCTAGTATCTGGCACATGGTATGTGCTCAACAAATATTAAGCAGATATTATCATTATTCTTTTCTTTTCCCCATCAAGTTTCATCATGTCTTACCTGAATGGATACAATAATATCTTTTTTTTTTTTACAATAATATCTTAACTAATCTACTGAATAGTTTCTTTCATGCATAATCGATCTTCTGAGATGCCCAGTGAGTTAATTTTCTAAACATGCTTGTTCCATTCTCAGAACCATGCTTCTCTTCACCATGCTTCCCTCTTTACAGCCCACAACAAAATCCAGAGTTCTTCCAGCGTGGCAGGCACCCATGAGATGTGGTCCCTGCCGACCCTCACCTGTCACCTCCCTCCCGCACTCCATCACTTCCTGACCACTTCAGAATTCAGAGTCACAAGGACTCTGAAGAAGAGTCACCAGGACTGCTTCCTTCGCCACATCACCTGGAGAACTCCTACCCACATACTTTCAATACTCAGCTTCAGAGTCACTTCCTCTGAGACGAGACGGCTGCCTTCTCGAAATGTAATTAGGCCTCTGTGTGTTGCCACATATTCACCAACGCATCTAGCAAACACACTGCACTGTAATTATCTGTCTCTCCCTTGAATGAGGGAGCAGCCACGCCTCAATTCCTCCTTGCATGTCTAGAACCTAGCATGAGACCCAGCAACATATTGAGAGTTAGTACACAAACTCTGGTTGTCTAGGTGAGCAACCAAACCTCCTGGAAGGAGGAACCAAGGCTCCTGGAAGGTTCTGCAGAGGCTGGAACACTGTATTGGGTATTTTCTGAATCCACCTGCCTGTGGACAGGACACCCCACATCTACTCGAGAAACAAAATCAACAAACACAAAACGAGTGTCCTTGAAACATGCTCTCAGGTGCCACTCACTCGATAATGGGATCTGAAAGTCGGAGGCCTTCCAGGCTGAGATTCTGCAACTTGGAGCAGTGAGACAGAAGGCCGTGCAGGGTGGCCACATCGATCACAGAGTTCGACAGGTCCAGGTGCTGTAGACGAAAAGGGCTGAACACAGAGGGAATAAAAAGAAGCTCTACAAGGTGGCTCACATCAGTATGTCCAGATTAGATCTGATCCCTTCTTCTCCCCACCCGGGCAGACCACCACAAATAAGACCCTGAACACGCATTTCAAGTATTAGCTATAGTTGTAGTCATAAAATAAACTGTTACTGGCCACCTTCATTTTTTTTTAATTCAAAAGCTTTTTTTTTGGGGGGAGGGGAGCCAAGTCCAGACATTGTGCCAGCACAGTCCAACTTAGAAAATGAATTAATGAGCATCAGGAGAATGAGTTGGATGTGGGTGACAAGGAGGTCACGCCTACAATGACTCCTGGCAAGGGTGAGTGGGTGGATGACCAAACCAGGGAAGACCGTGCAAAGGCAAGTTGTAAATGGAGGTTAATACCAAGGTTCTTGGGATGGACATGCTAATACTAAGGTACTTGTAGGAAATTCAGCTGTGGTAGTTTTTAAGTAATTAGAAATAAGAGTTTGTTTGAAAGAGAGGGTTGGGCTAGAGATGAGGATGTGAAAGTCTTGGCATAGACGGGGGTGTACAAGACATAGCTTGTCTGAAGACAGTGTGGGTCGGGAGAGAAGGCAGCCAAGGACAGACCCTAGAGTAACAAAGCAAAGCATGCACTTGAAGGAGACTGAGAAGGAAGCGCTGCAGGAGAAGCATAAAACACCCATGGGAGAGGAGAGTTGTCATATGATCACAGCGAGAAGGTGAAAAGGCCTCGAGTTGGGATGTGTGTTGTATCCTAGCTCCGCCGTCTTTAGCTTATTTTTCTGTTCAGTATCTATTTACTCCACTCCAGCATGAGATGACACTAAACCACACTGCAAAACTATCAGTAAGAAATACATTTTCAGAAAGTCTAAAAAACACCAAAACAGAGCATCTTTTTCAGGATGTAAATTGGTCTGTGATAGGATCAGAAACCCAGAGTGACAAAATCTGAAAAGACCCCTCACATTTTTTCCTTATCAGAAACAGGCAGTAGGGGTAGAGAAATGTAAATCAAAACTACAATGAGGTATCATCTCACATCGGTCAGAATGGTCATCATCAAGAAATCTACAAACAGTAAATGCTGGAGAGGATGTGGAAAAAAGGGATCCTCTCTTGCATTGTTGGTGGGAATGTAAGTTGATAAAGCCACTGTGGAGAACAGTAAGGAAAGTCCTTAAAAACTAGGAATAAAACTACCGTATAGCCCAGCAATCCCACTACTGAAAAAAACCATAATTCAAAAAGACACATGTACCCTATCGTTCATTGCAGCACGATTTACAATAGCCTGAACATGGAAACAATCTAGATGTCCATCAAAAGATGAATGGATAAAGAAGTTGTGGTATACACACACACACACACACACACACACAATGGTCCTAAAAAGGAACAAATCAGCTCTAGTGAGGTGGATAAACCTAGAGCCTGTCATACAGAGTGAAGTAAGTCAGAAAGAGAAAACAAACATCATCTATTAACACATATGTGCAGAATCTAGAAAAATGGCACTGATGAATCTATTTGCAGGGCAGGAATAGCGATGCAGACACAGAGAACAGATTTGTGGATACAGAGGATGGAGAGGGTGGGACGAATTGAGACAGTAGCGTTGAACCATATATACATCACCATATGTAAAACAGACAGCCAGTGAGAAGTTGCTGTATAATACAGGGAGCTCAACCCAGTGCCCTGGGACAACCTAGAGGGGTGGGATGGGATGAGGGTATGGGAGGAAGGCTCAAGAGGGAGGGGGCATATGTATTCATGTTCTTATATGGCAGAAACCATCAAAATATTGCAAAGCAATTATCCTCCAAATAAAAATACATTTTAAAAAAATAAAAAGAAATGGGCATTGGGTGAATAGCTTGGCTGCATGACATCTGCTGGTGAGGGCTCTGCTTGGCTCCTGCCTCATAGGATACTCAGGACACCCTTAGACCCTGGGAAGAGCCCAAGAGCAGGCCTAGGCTAAAACAGGAATGATGTCACTGAAACCCATGCCATGTTTCAACACAAAGGCCACATGGCAACATACACAACTAACATCCCACGCTGCACAGATGACCTGTCCTAGGGCATACAGCAGGAGAGAGAGAAAAAAAGACACTTTGATCTGTTTTCCTCCCCAAGATTTTCCGGGCACTTTTCTTTCTTACCTGAAGTGTTCAACTAACGGTTGGTCCATAAATGATCTTGGACAGCGGAAGGCAACCACCCCTCGGGACAGGAGCCGGCCAACCACGTCTGGGTAGAGGTTTCTGCCTGCAAGGTCTACAGTCTGCCAGAGAGACTCATCAAACCTGGAAAAGAGGTGCTCCATTTGGTGAGTCAGGGCACCAGTTTCTGGAGACCCTCAACACCGCTTCCAACAAGAGGACACGGTCACTCGATTGCCCTGAAGCAAGTTCTACAGGCATGTTTGTTTCTGACTATACAATTACCTATATTTTTAAGGCACTATGGAATATTTCTTTTTCCCATTATGGATAAGCTTTCATCTTCCTCTTTACATGGATTTCATAGCTAGTTCAAAGCTATCATGAGCTCTGCAATGATCTGGAACAGGAGAATAAAATTTCAGCATTCAATTCAATAACTCTAAGACTGCTCAAATCACTCAACTGATTACTGAACAAGTAGGTAGGCTCACAATGACCTTGCTTGCCATTTTTGTGAAGGACGAGCATGCTACCACAATTACCCTAAAAAAACATGCAAATGTACCTAAAAGAAGGAAAGTTTGTATGACTTTATTATGAGATATGTTTAGCAAATATCCATTAGGAAAAGTCATAGTTCAGCTCCATTTATAAAACCTTAAAAGCTTAAAATAAATGCACAGAAATACAGGTATACCTATGAACTAATGTGAAGAGAAGAGGTAAAAATGTTTAGATTTGTGTTTCAAAAGCAAAAAAGCAGTAACAAATATAGCAAAAAAACATAAAGAAGTTTGAATACCCATAGATTAATTCAATTTAACACAAAAGACAACATGAGATCAAGCCCGTGAGGGAACATTTTAAATGTTTACAAGAATTTTACTTTTTAATCCTACTTGAGATAAGCAGACCACTGGCTGGAGCTTTGAAATAATTCTGCATAAACAAATTGTCAACCTTTATTCTTAAGAAGACTGGACTGCTGTGCCTGGCATATAACAAGCGCTTAATGAATGTCAGTTATAACTTTTATGACAGTTGAGATGAAGATGAACAGAGCTGCATAGAGAGAACACAGGTGGTGGCAAAGAAAATCAAAACGGGGTTTCTTGAGCAGGGATAAGTGAGTCAACCACCATGTACCTACTCTGGCATTCTAGCTGTGCCGACCTCTCTGTGGCTCTTCTAAACAAACATAGTCAGCCCTCCCTATCCACAAGGCTTCCCAGGCGGCACAGATGATAAAGAATCCATCTGCCAATGTAGAAGACGTGGGTTCAATCCCTGGGTGGGGAAGATTCCCTGGAGGAAGAAATGGTAACCCACTCCAGTATCCTTGCCTGGAGAACTCCATGGACAGAGGAGCCTGGTGGGCTATAGTCCATGGGGTCGCGAAGAGTTAGACACGACTGAGCAAGCACTCCCTATCCGCGGATCCAGAGCCAGACTGTCCTACCCCATTTTATACAAGGGACTTGAGAATCCACAGATTTTGGCATCCACAGGAGGGTCCCGGAACCAATACCCAGTGGGTACCAAGGGATGACTGTAGCCCAGTCCTGTAAATACCTGGAGTGTCTTATTTCCAGCACACCTGTGAATGGAAGGGCAGGGGCTCCTGCGTAATCACAGTTGAGAGTCCTAGACATGTAGAGGGAGAAGTGACACAGATGGCCTTAAGCACAGAGCAAAGGCTGGCCAGAGGCTGATGAGGAGGAGAAAAGGTGAAGATGGAAAAGCCCGTCCCAGCACCAAGATGTCCCATGTGCAGCTCACTGTTCGCACCTGAGAAGTGTGGTCCCAAACCCAACAAAACCTGAACAATTAGCTGGGCACCACTTGAGCATCTTTATATTTCATGTTCACAGTGGCCATCATGTGACCCACCAGAAGTGACCTGCCCCATTTGGAAAACTTTTCCCTATATTCAGCAGAGCCCATGTTTATTGGATGCTGGGCCAGGCAGTGTACCAGGAGTGACGGGGATGCATGAAGGCATAGCTGGTTCTCACACACCCAGTGGGCTGGCTATGAGTGGTGGGAAGAGAACTCGGGGCTCTGAGTGGGACCCAAGTGGGGAACCAGACTCTGCTACTTAGGCTTTATGGGACCTGGGTGAGGTTCTGAGTCCCAGCCCCCCCATATATAAAAGGGGATGATGCTGTCTTCCCAGGTGGTGCTAGTGGTAAAGAATCCGCCTGCCAGTGCAGGGTCATGCGTTCGATTCCTGGGCTGGGAAGACCCTCTAGAGGAGGAAATGGCAACCCACTCCTTTATTCCTGCCTGGAAAATTCCATGGACAGAGGAGCCTGGTGGGCTACAGTCCATGGGGTTGTAAAGAGTATGACACAACTTGGCATACACACACACACACCCCTCCAGTAGATTCCTCCCTTATCTGTGAAATAAGACACTAATTATTATAAAGAATAAGAAAATATCAAGTGTGCTCTGTCCTACTATATTCTTCTTGGTTTTCAGTGTCAGCAGACCCCAATGAATAAAAACCCTTCTTTTCTCCTCCTCTCCATATACTAAATAGGGTGAAAAATACTTACGCTAGGTGATACCATCTCTTACAAACACTGGAAACTTTCAGGAGTTCAGGGAGGCACAGACAGGAAAAGATTCCTAAGAGCAGCTCATCTGGAAGGGAGTCCCAAGAAACACCTTGGAGGGGGAAAAAAAAAGAATTGTTTTCCTTTTACCGTTCTTTCCCCCTATCAAGTGTACTGAGCTTTTTCCTGCACTTAAAGATATACAACATGTAGCTTAAAAAGGCAAATTTAATGCTAAATGAATTCCTCATCCTCATAATTCTTCTTCTGTTTACCCATGGTCTATGTTTCCTGAAGTGGATACTGTATACTTTCTCAGCAAAGGAGAAAAGAGTATCAAGAATACTTTTCATGATATTCTTCTCTTGAGTAGCCACCAGCCAGTCTCAGGATCAGAACCATACTGATGGGGGTTCAGAGCCAGTCCCAGGCCTCTCACATCTTGGACAACAATGTCTAAGATACACAATGCTTCTGGCTTGCTAAGGAATACCTCACTCCTCTTTAAAGCGGCTTCAGTGGTAGATTTATCAAGTAGTGACCTTATTTAAAAGGCAAACCAATCTTCCTCCCTCTTCTTCCAAGTTTACAGAGGGTGGGCTCAGAAGTCCATTTACCTAAAAGTGCAATACCAAAAGGCTGTTCTCATCTCTTAATTCAACACACATGTCCTGAATGCTTAGTTTGATGCCAGGGATGGGTTAAGGTGTTGGGAGAAAGCAGGTAACACATGAGACAAAACACTTTTTCATGGAGCTTATGTTCCACTGGGGAAACAATCACATGATATTAGAAGACATGTTAAAAACTGTTCAATATTAATAAAAATTAAGTGATATGTTAAAATTGCTTTCACTTTGATGTATTAAAAATGAAGAAAATGAGGAAAGTGTTAGAAAGTTTTAACACATAGCATACACACACATACACCCTCAACCATCAATAGCAACTAACCTCCTTGTTCTATTTTAGGGTTAATAATAAATTATGATAAGGGTTGTATTCAGCTCTTTGATTAAAACGACTATTTTCATTCTATTTGGACTCAACTCTATTTGTTAGTCTACTGAAACTCATCATTCAAGGAGACTAAGTCTGTATTAGTAAAGATTTGGTCAAAATATCTCCTTCTACATTTTAAAATAAATGCCTAATACAAAATTCTGTAATAGTGAGTAACTGTGATGTGAATTTCACCATAATGGTGGTTCCTCTAATAACTGTCAAGTTTTATAGCTGGAGTTCCCCCCCAAACTTTTTAATACATTTGCTGTGTTTTCTTTTATTAAAAAAAGTATTGCATTCTTATTGAAAAAATTCTTGAAGAAAAGTTGAGTTACTTAAAAGTCTAAAACAGTTCCATTCTTCAGAGATATTTTTAAGTTATCTGGTGCACTTACATCCATTTCGTAAACATACTGTTTCCCAAACTGGTATTTAAAGAACATTCTTCTGGGAGATGTTAATATCTGCTCCACTACAGTGTTTTGTGGTGTAAAATGGTATAAAACAATGGGGAGGGCCTTACTGAGCAAAGGCTGAAGAGAGAGGAGAGGCTGGCCCTGTGAGTCCCTGGAGCGTGTTCTACGTGCAGGAGCAGCAAGTCTGCTTTGAGGAACAGCGAGGAGGCCAGCGTAGAACACAGTGAGCAAGTTGCAGGGAGCGGGCAGGGAGCGGGCAAGAGGTCAGAGGAGTGGGAGGGGGCCAGGTCATCCGGCTCTGACTCTGAAGGTGATGAGGGGGCGGCCGCCGGAGAGTTCTGAGCACAGGAATGACAGGATCTCACGTAGGTTTTAAAAGGATCACTCTGACTGTGTGTTCAATATAAACTAGAGGGAGAAAAAGGTGGACGCAGGAAAACCAGTTTTCTTAGTTTTTATAAAAGCAAACTCTAATTGCTATGCAACAAGTATTAAACGCTTACATATGAATAGAATAACCCACAAGGATAATATGACCACAACCTAGAAGGAAACAAGCGGGCACCAAAGAAACAGTGAGTGTTTTAGATCAGAATTCAGAGTGGTTAGCTGAGTTCAGTAACTTGCCTTCTCGGTCTCTCTCTAACTCCAGTCCACCTGCTACACCAATGCTACCACTATCCTCTCTCCCCCATGACAGCTAATTTTAGTGTCAACTTGACTGGGCTAAGGAGTACCCAGATATTTGGTTAAACATTATACCAGCTGTCTTTGGGGGGGTATCTGGGATGATATTAACACTTGATTGATTAACTGAGAAAAGCAGGTTGCAGTCCCCAGTGTGTGCCTGCCTCATCCAATCCAAAGTCGGGTTGGAATAAAAGGCGGATGAAGGGAGACCTGTCTCTTTCTCCCATCTTTGAGCTGAAACCTAGGTGTCCTCCTGCCTTCAGGCTGGACTGAAACTAGCATGATCTACTCTCCAGAATCTCAGGTCTTTGGGACCAAAGATCATGGGACTCTTCAGCTTCCAGGACTACGTAAGCCAATGCCTTATTAATAAGCCTCCCTGTATTTCTTATTAGTTCAGTGGCTCTGACAGTATTCTTGGGCTTCCCTTGTGGCTCAGCTGGTAAAGAATCCACCTGCAATGCAGAAGACCTGGGCTCGATCCCTGGGTTGGGAAGATCCCCTGGAGGAGGGCATGGCAACCCACTCCAGTATTCTTGGCTGGAGAATCGCCACGAACAGAAGAAAACTGGTGGGCTAAAGTCCATGGGGTTGCAAAGAGTCGGACACGACTGAGCAACTAAATACAGAACACACACCCCATTTAAAAGGTGTCAGTATGTACTGAACACAGACATTGCAAAAGGCTCAGGGAAAAGACAATGGACAGCTGGAGACAGAGTGGAGGTGAGTGATAAACATAACATTCTTGGACTTTATGGACTCCTCCCCCCTATTCCTGGGCAATCTTTTGAAAACATTCTTCAATTAGATCCCTTCAGCGGTGTCCCTTGAATATTCTGTCTAAAGTCTATACTGCTGAGCATGAAATTCAAAGCTCCCCTATCAGGGCCCCACTTGGTTTTCTAGATTCATTATCTAGAAATATGTTCCAGCCATTTGGAGCTACTTGGAATTTTCAGAATGAGTCTCTGTGTCATATCTCAATGCCTCCGTACATGCTGTGCCCGCCCCTGACTGCTATTATTCAAGGGGCCATTAACGCCCCAACTCCTATGGACGGCCTCCCAGGACATCACCAAAAACAGGCCAGTTTTTTAACCACAATTTTGTTATTTCCTTACTCACCTGTGTAGGCCCTACAAGGCCATGAGATCTTGAGAAGGAGAACCTGATTTTTCTTTTAACAGTCTTCATATTCTAAGGAACTAGCACACTGTCCGATACATGCAAGCATTCATTTATTTACTTAACGTGCTATATGCCGAGGACTGTTCTACAGACAGAGATGAACAAGGCATGGTCTTCTTAGCGTTTGAGAGACACAGATAAACAGGATATTTCAATCCAGGGTCACAACGGGCTGGAGAAAGGCTCAGGGTGTTGTGCTACACCGGGGACTGACCTGGCACAGTGCTTAGGGAAGGATGCTCCCTGGGAAAATAAGGACATGTAGCTGCTCCATGAACACCTGCCCCTCCCTCTCGAGAGAATCAAATAAAGGACTGAGGCTCTGAAGCCTAGGGGCAAAGGGATGAAGGCAGACCATCCGCACTGACCCTGGACACGTTCCAGGGAGCAGCTCCTCAGGGCGGCAACGAGCCTCCGTCACACCACACAGCTCCTGGGCCAGGGTCAGTGGGGGCAGAGGGTCTCCAGCAGGACTCCTGCTCCACAAACTGGAACCAAGTTTTCCTTCCATTAGTTCTTCTTAACTCCCTAACCTCTGCTGCCTCCTGCATATACAGATCAGATGCTAGCATTTCATTTGGCAAAAAAAAAAAAAAAAAATTACACTTAGCCACTTTGAATCTAGTCTGCTGAGATTTTCACTATGACCTGCAATGACTACCCTGACACCAGGTGCCTGCCCCCCATCCCCGCCAAGTGTGAGAACTACTGGATTGAGGAAGCAGCACAGCTCTGACTGGAATTTGACTGCATTGTTTCCATGTCAGCAAGCCCTAAGTGAGCTCCTCAATCCTCCTGGGGCTCACTTTCACCAGCAGGAAAGGGAATAAAAAGGTTTATTTTGCAAAGCTGTTCACTATGAAGATTAAATAGCTCATGTCAAGAGGTGACAAAGCAGAGAGTTAAACTGCCTCTTTTTTGCTTCTATTCCTCTCCTTTCTCCAAAAAATCTGTATGTTTTACTTTCATGACCTTTTCCTTTCAGTGCTCCTTAGAATCTTCACCTATGTGAAAACATCCATCTCTGAGTAGGAGCTGGACAAAGGCTGCCTGGTATGATTTACCGAGACCTCCCAAACTGCCTTCTATCTAGGTTTAATTAAAGAATTAAATTAAATTAAAAGATGCTTGCTCCTTAGAAGAGCAATGACAAACCTAGACAGCGTATTAAAAAGCAGAAACAAAGGTCTGTATAGTCAAAGCTATGGTTTTTCCAGGAGCCATGTATGGATTGAGTGTTGGACCAAAAAGAAGGCTGAGTGATAAAAGAATTAATGCTTTTGAAGTGTGGTACTGGAGAAGACTCTTGAGAGCCCCCTAGATAGCAAGGAGATCAAACCAGTCATCCTAAAGGAAATCAATCCTGAATATCCATTGGAAGGACTCATGCTGAAGCTCCAATACTTTGGTTACCTGATGTGAAGAGCTGACTCACTGGAAAAGACCCTGATGCTGGGAAAGACTGAGGGCAGGAGAAGGGGGCAACAGAGGATGAGATGGTGGGATGGCATCATCGACTGACTGGACATGAGCTTGAACAAACTCTAGGAGATAGTGAAAGACAGGGAAGCCTGCTGGAGTGCTGCAGTCCATGGGATCACAAAGAGTTGGGCATGATTGAGTGACTGATCAACTTATCAACAACAATCTAGGTTTGGGATCCAGGAAATACTGGAAAGAATGAAGAGAGACATGGGAGGGCAGGAAGCCAACGTGGGCATGTGAGTAAGCAGATTATCACTATGGGCTTTAAATCTGCAGGGGACTCCCAGGAAACATACAGCACCTGCCCCAGATGCTGGGGCATTAA